CGTCGCGGTGACGGCGACCGGAACTCTCGGCGGGACGCAGGCTCGGGGGACTGGGGTCGTCGCAGGTACTCGTCGATCTCCCGAGGGCGTTCACCATACCGGGGGCGCGGGTCGCTCGGGTGGAACCCGCGTAGCCCGAGTCGTCGGTATGGGCATCGGCGGTAGGTGTGGTCCGCTTCCCCGCAATGGAAGCACAGAGGGCGTCGGTCGGGCGTTCGCCACACGTCGGTCTTGCGGGGTGCGCGAGGCTCCGGGCAGGCGTACTGGACCTGGTCGTCGTGGCGTCGGTCGTGCTGCGGCGCAGGAGACTGACGTCGGGGCGGCGTGACATAGGTGCGGCGAGGCGGCGGTGGCCGTCGGGCCACTGCGGCGTAGGTCAGGGCGGGCTCTTCGGGTGGTGCTACGCAGGCAGGAGCCTCCGGTTGAATTGCTCGCTGGACTTCTTCGCGCACCACTTCGGCGATCGACAGCTCAGCCGGCTGGTTGGCAGCAGGCAGAAGCTTGCGGAGCTCCTCCCGGACGATGTCGCGGACGATTTCCCGAAGGCCGTCGACACCGGTGGAGTTCAGGTCTAGTCGGCAAGATGCGGCGGTTCGAGGAGCAGGCACGCCGGCGAGTCGAGGTGCTCCCCGACGGAACTCGCCCATCAGGACGCCGCCAGCCACGACCCGAGGTCGTCCACGTAGTTCGACTCAAGCCGTTCTACGCGCGTTAGGATTGTGAAACTGCATGTTTGTTTTGTTTCGCCGTAATTGTTTTAGCCATTTCCGTTTTCCTTTCGTTTTGCATCGGGGCGATGCACTTTTAAAGGGGGGGATAATGCCGCCCGCAGAGCCGAGAAGGCAACGCTTGGTCACGGTCTTCTAGAAGATTCCCGGTCATCCTCGCAGCAGACGTAACTTTCCCTCTGCTTTGTTATTCTCGAAAGTGCCAGTTCATCCTCGCCCCGAGCGCGCGACGCTCGAACCTTCTTTGCCGAACTTTCGAGATAGTGACGCACGGTAGATAAGCAGCTGCCCGCGACCTTGTCGAGTCAGTCCCAGTTTCGCTAGCGCTCTGTAGTGCCGCCAAACCGCCGCCAGCTTTTCTGCTACCTCGACGCTCTTTCGTTATTTATTTTTGGTTGGCACAAGTTCGCCCATTAAATCTTTATTTTCAGTTCACTGCTCGGCTTTTCGTCACCTTCATTCGTGACAATATTTGGCATCGCGGACACGCCCATCAGCTAGATAGCAGTAAAATATTTATTTATGGGTGTATTTCTTGAACTATATTTTTCAACGTTCGAGCGTCGATCACGCTTAGTTTTTTTATTTTCCCTACAATTAAGTATATAATTATATTTGGCGCCACAAATACGCGAAAAAGAGTTGAGCAAGATCGGGGCCTTCATTTATTGATGCACTTTCTTTTTAATGAACTGCTTTTTGTAATATTGAAGCGTCATGCCTTGTTTTTAGTATTTTACTGACAAATAAAAGTTTACGTCCTTTACCTACTTGATTACGGTGCAAGGATCCACTTCACTACCACCGCAAGATAAGATTGCGGCGACATCTTGCTCATATGACGAAAATACTCAGTTTAATAAACTCGTGGATAGTGGATTTTAGCGAATTGGTCAGCACCAATTTCCAGAAGATACCTGTACTACCATGGCACTCGTATTAATAATTTACGCTCATTAGGCCGCAGTTTGTGTTCTTATTTCGCTTAAACGGGGGGTGCAACGATTTCGGAACTTCGGTCAAAGATTTCTGGAAGTTGCCCTCCGACACTTCTGAAGTAAAGAACAGAAAACCGATTTCGCCTGCGTGTCCTAGTTGTTGCGTAAAAAAAGAAAGATTGGCATTTCGGGCACCCCTCAACTCACTCCCAGCCTTCAGGGTCACACCCGGTCCCCCTCTTAGTGACGTCATCCGGAGTGCCGTGTAGGTTCCCGTGTGCTATCTCGGAGGACGCTTCCTCTCCCTCTCTCCGCTGACATTAGCGGGCGTTATGCTGCAGCTTAGAGCCGAGCGAGGTCACGTAATCTTTTCGCTCTAGTTCCTTCGGCTGCCACTTGGTGCTGCAGGTGGGGGAAAAAGTTAGACTTTTGCTTTGCGATTATGGAGCGCAATCGCGACATTTTTAATTAAGGAGGTGTTTTCTTTATCCTCCGGGACACGATAAACAACGTAAAAATGACGAGATGCAAATTCTTTTAATTGTAAAATCGTCGCACCGCCCCTTTAAAAAGAAAAAAAAAATCGGAAATTGCACAGCCAGATTACAGCTGCAGTACACAATGAACCGGTTGTTTATTTGTTTGTTGCAGTACGGATGCAGAAGATGGCGGCTGTCTTTGTCAATCGCCGGTGCTTCAGTGCTTTGCTCATGATGTCGATTAATATTGCGGTAAAGTCATTATATCGTGTGTTTACACTTGGGAAGTTACCCATTGGTCGTCTCCGTCGTAGATGAGAAATTTATAGCCAGTGCAGTACAACTGACTGCTAACCTGGGGTATTTGACGTACATCAAGTGGTGATAAACGACAGCACGCCGATACTGTGCTCACCAAGATCGATACATGCTGGGGTGGAGACCCAACCCGGGGCCCTTTATTTCTGCAGCGGCCTTTTTGCTTGACGCTCTCGGAGCTGCGAGGGATATACATGGCTTGAACCACATTATAGGCCAGGGGTGGCCAGGCCGATCCGGCCTAAGGCCCGCAAACGAAAACCACGAAACTTCAAGAGCCGCCGGTTGGGGGGGGATCAAAGTTTTGTGCAATAAACGAAACTCAAATTAATTTCAATCTATCCGAGTCAAGAGCAGTCCAACTGTACATAAAGTAGCAGCATCACACGACTACCAAATCGTAACCTCTCTTTCAATTTAAAACGCGTTCCATTTATCTTTTTGGGGACCTGCTCGTGTGACCGGGAGGAAAACGGGGGCGAGTGCGGGGGGGAGAGGAGGGGAGGAGCCGCGAGCCGCACTTTAACACGCGAAGAGCCGCATGCGGCTCGCGAGCCGCAGCTTGGCCACCCCTGTATATAGACTGTAAAGTTGCACATGCACGTATGTTAAATTATATACGTTGTAGCCTCGAGCCGATTGTAACTCTGGGTTATTCCTACCTTGTTCTTGCCGAGAAAAACAAATTCAATGGTGCGAAATTTTTTTGCAGAAGATACGCGCAACGGCAGGGCCAATTCAATGGCCGCTGATAGGACGTACGTACAGAGGCTGTAAGCTGGACGGCGGCGAGAAAACGGGCGAGAACACGTCACGAAGGGAGGAGGCTCTTAAGGACCCGCCCCAGAGGCGAACTGTGGCGAGTTTCGCTCTCCTTTCTTAGATTTCCGACCCTCACTTTGGCTGAGACGTCACGCGAGTCTAGCGCCAATCGCCCCTACGTTTTCCCTACGGCGCGCCCGCGGCGCCGGCACCTGCTTCGAGGCTACGGTCGTCTGCTACGGTCGTCTGCTACTATTCAAGGGACAGAGCGAAAAAGGCCGGACACGTCGCATTCGCGGGTTCCGCCGGCCCAGCGAGCGAAAATGACAAATTTTACAGGAGGAACGTTCCGTATGATGCAAGGCAATGCTAAATTTCAGGACGGGTGGACTCCACGCCCATAAATACGCGATTTGGACGCAGCTCGTCGCAGAGCTGAACTCCGACGGCGCTCCCGTAAAGGAGGGGCCACCATGATAAAAGTTTTCTCGAGCTCCGACGTGAATCTAATCGATTTGCAGTGAATAAAAACTTAAAAATTTGTGTTGTTTGCAGTGATCTGCGATAAAATAATGAATGCCACATTCACTCGGAGTGTTAGTCGTCTGCTACAATCGGCGGCAAAGATGGAGCCAACAGCAAAGATGTCAAGATTAGATCCGCGAGGTCGACAGCCCAGCGTGAGGTACTATTGAATTTTATGGAACATCCCCAAATCGCGCTGGCAGCCGCTGGTCTCACGCCGGCAGTCACGCAGATGGAAAAATATCAGCTCTCGGCTGAGCTCGTCGCCGAGCTCAACACCATCGGACCTGCCATCAAAACAAGTGAAAGCCGTTTACAACTCCCTGTAACACCGAATTTGAGCGCAGCTCTTGAGGAGGAGGAGGGAAGGGTACTGGGGGGGGGGGGGGGGGGTGAAGTGAGCTTGGGGGTCACGTGACGATGCCGATGATGTCATTAGTGACGTCTTCAGTGACGATGACGATGCGGACTCCGATGACGTCATCAGCGATGATGACGATGACAATGCGGATGTCGGTGACGTCATCAGTGACGTCACTGATGACGTCGGCCGTGATGATGACGATGACGATGCGGATGCCGGTGACGTCATCAGTGACGTCACTGATGACGTCATCAGTGATGATGACGATGCGGATGCCGGTGACGTCATCAGTGACGATGACGTCATCGGGGAGGTCACGTGACCTCGGGGGGGGGGTCACCTGACCTCCCTGGGTCACGTGACCTTGGGGGTCACGTGACCCTGGGGGAGGGGTCACGTGACCTCTAGGGGCCACGTGACCTTGGGGGTCACGTGACCTTGGGATGACCTTGGGGGTCGCGTGACCTTGGGGTGACCTTGATTACGCCGACGCCGCTCAAGCCGGGAACGGGCCGCTAAGAGCTGCGCTCTAAAACAGGAGGGGGTGGCAGCACTATTGGACCGACAGGGTGCGTGCCGCCAAAAAGAAGGCCGATGGCTTCCGCAAAAACAGCAGGTGAGTGTTCCCGACTTTTGATATTGGATGCATGGCTTGCGAATATGACGTATTCCGCGGTGTTGGAGGATAACGATTGCACATGACGAGTGTCACATTTACGGTCTGAAGACTGAGGTTAGCATTGCAAATAAACCACCAAGGGAGATGAGTAAGCTACTTCTGTAAAATTAACTCATATTGCTACGTTTTTCTTCAGAGGGACAGGCGGAGGCGCAGTACCTGGCGAGGCCGGGAGGATAATTTCCATTATCGGCCCCGATGCCATGGAGGGTTGCGGGGCACCGGCGGTGCCGGGGCCACAGGTAAGGAGCTCTTTTGTTTTTGCCCAAGACTTTCAGACATGTTTTGCAGAACAAATTATTTAATTGTGTGCAGATTTTGTGAAACCGAAACTTATATCGAGTTGCAGCTTCTCAATTTGGTAATTTTAGACAAATGTTTATCTATTAACCTTTTATCTGATGATGTCCGACTGCTTGATCGGAAAGTAGCAGTTGCAGCCTCCTGCTAAGAGGTACTCGGTAGAACACGCGACTATATCTGGCAAAGATTGCAGCATAAATACTATACTTAAAGAGGCTGCATTTAAAGTTTTCAATAAACAGTGAGGCCTCGTCGCATATGCCGACATGATTAGAGTGTTCCTCTGGATGCTTCTGTTCTGTTATGGGGCCCAAATGTACTTGCAGCACATGCTATACTCGTCTTCACCTCAAGATGTCATGACCTGTGCAACCACAGGGATTGTAGTTGTTCTTAGCAGTTGTCGACAGTGATAAATATGGTTAGTGCACACATTGTTAAGTCACTACAATGTCTGTTGTAACACAGTGAACATTGGCACTATGAGCGTGTTCAGGTACAAGAAGCCTCTCTATAGAGTGCCAGTCAGATGAAGTCCTCGGAAGACAGCTGCAGCCACTTTACGTGAATTACACAAGTTTGCATGTGATCATAGATTTCTGTAGGGTTCTAGGAATGCCAAACATACTGCTTGACTTTCTTGTCTCTCCTACTGTTTCAATAGTGCTCGATGATAGCGAGATTCACCTGAACCCCTTCACTTTCAGGCTGTACCATCGCCAGCTGCGGCAGGCAGCAATGTATTTATTGGGGAAGTCCCAGGAACCAGTGGCACCGGTAAGTGTCTCTTACAGCATGCGCTGATATTTGTGTTTTAGTTGACGTATATCCTGCCTATATTAACAAATACGAAGGAAATCCAGAAACAGGACGAATGCGAGACTTTAGGCAGACGAGGAAAATGGTGCCCAGCACATATGTCCACAAAACCACTCTATACCCTAAAAGTAGTAGTTAGTGAAGGGGGAAGGGGGGGGGGGGTTATTATGTTATCATTGTTTGCAAACAGAAATTGCTCCGAGTGCAGCCTGTGTCTTTTATGCATGCGCTTTTGATATGGACCAGTTTGCTGTCTTCATAATGCAATGACTGCCCAAGGGGTGTGATAGCACACTCGTCGCTGCCAGCTGCAGTTCCTGCCTTTTCTTATTGTCCTTCCCAGCTTTGTTCACAATCGCCTTTGTGTTTAGCTCAGAGCCAGCCGCCCCCGCCCCCGGTGTCCCCGGGCAGAGCGGCATTCTGTCGACACAGTGGCCGAGCAACTCATCAGAGGCCAGCAGCGACTAGTGGAGCTGGCCGTGGCTAGGCTTGCTGCCCTTGAACAGGTACCCGTATAGGACAAACTCCTTAACGCCCTACGAAGTTTTTTGATGGGTTGATGACTGGTATTGGTGCACATGCCTTTTCCCTTGTTACCAAAGACAAGAAGACTGCCACATCAGGCACTGCATGCATTTGAAGCGTTTTATGACCAGGTGGTAGTTTGGTCACTACAATGATAATTAAGAAAAAGGAAAAAAAGATAACATCCGTCACAATTCAGTGTTTCTGGTATGTGTGAGGACATTGAAGAGTACAGAATGGCACAATTTACAAAATTTGTAAAAAAAGGCACCCCCAGCCATCTTATGACGGGCTGAAGGATTTAGTAAGAGTTATTAGAAAAAACCATGTTGTCATATATGCCATGATATGTTCCAGAATCATCAGGTGGTGCTCTGCATAAAGATTAGAGTACAACAGGGCACACATATGTACACACATAACAAAAGAGTGCATATATAACCCTCGGAGCATTAAACGTTTGTAATTTCCACTCTACTTATATGTATATATATATATTTTCACAACTGCTTTCAAGGAACATACTAAGTGATATTTCCCAGCGTTTATTTAGTCATCGCGATAGAAGTTGCTGTCTCCCCTTCCGAGGAGCATGGTGTACTCTCAGTGTGCCAATATTTTAGTTCTCCTGATATTCTAGCCCAGAGCATGCGAGACTTTAGGTTGATTTCCTGATAATAAACCTTTCAGTTGTTAGTCAGCGCTCGTCCTGTCCAGTTCCTTCCTCTGTCCTTGTAAAATTCGTGCTGTTCCATTATGAATATGTAGATGGCTTGAAACACAACGCCAACTGAAGTATGTTTCTGCAATTGGAAACAGTCAGCGTAAAGCATTACTTGGCTTCAGAGTATGGCCAAAATACAGTGAACCCTGGTTATTCTATATGGGTGACCTGTAGTGCAATGGTCATTATTCGAAACTTTTCCCATTCCAGCAAACCTCGGCTATCCGGCAGCCGACACTGGTGCTCCTCCTGCTGGTCCTGATGACTTCGGCCACCCGGCAGCCATGCCTGCCTCTGCCCTGCAGGCCCCCCACTCCGCCGCCTCTGGACTAAGCTGCCTCCTGGCAGCTTTTCTTTTATTTATTATTTTTAAATCTATTTTCGTTCACCAAGACGTGGCTTTAATGTTTCCTTTTTCCTTCTAATGTACATAATATTTCAATCACAAGAAGTACATTTCTTTTTGCAGACCAGTGTAAATATATATGTCACAAGATGGTAATTGTTACAATAATGGAATGGTTATAAACTTCTGTTGTACAAGATGGAGCCATTTTATTTTGTTCTCACAGTGCATGATGGTTACTTTCATAGCGTAACTCTGGGCCCTAAAATGTGTACACAAGGTTGTAGCATCCCGCTTTATTAGACATGTTTGCAAGTCCGGAATCAGAGTGCTGCCATTTTGCTCGGCTGGGGTGCGTTTGGACGCATCATAATCCGATTACGGAGCATTGCTAAGGCGTCGTAATCGGATTGTGGTCACTCTCAAGCGCACCTCAGTGAGCAAGATGGCGGCGCCTTGAGACCGGACTTGCAAACGCGTATACAGTGGGCTGTATGTTCTTATGTGAAAGAGGCTAGTGCATTACTGGTGACACCAGCAAAATCGACGACATCTATCGGCTAGAATAAAACATTGTGGAGGCGGGTTCGCTCACCGACCATTTCAAGCGAATAAAATATTAACAGCACCTGGCCATCTAAAGACGAAGCCGTGAAAGTGGGTTCAAAAACATGTGATGAAAATAGTCAATAATCCGACATAGCTTCTTTTGAAAAAAACACAAGTAGCAATCAGCGGTTCCTCATTCCTGGCCACCGGCTGAATATGTCCACCTTTCGTAGCAACAAGCCAAAAAAACACTTCTTTTACTAAGCGTTGTGGCTATATACACACCGCTAACATTCATGTTTCCGAACAGCGTACTCTACGAGTCGTTTAAGCACCCGACTGTGGCGAATCCTCACCCGGAACCTCTTTGCCATGAATTTGTTTATGTCAAATTAATTCAGAGACAGGGACTAACAACCATAAGATGTGTGGACTGCACAGACCTAAGCATCTGCTCCAAAGTACTGCGTATTTCGCAACACATGCAAGCAATATGGGAAATCGGAATTAAACACAGTGACTGTCCTATTGGGTTTGAATTAAATGCGAACAGTGACGGAACTTCCAGCAGAACACCGGCGCAGTGTGGACGCTTGGGTTGTGCTGGGCGAGGCTCAAGCACATCAAAATAGGACGCACCCGCTCGCAGCGCTCTATTCTTCACCCCAAAGTTTTATCTGTTTCCGGATGCCTCCTGCAGGTGCAGCATCTGTTGACGGACTCTGGTGTTTGCATTTCATTCGAACCCAATAGTATGGTGAAAAATCTAAAAAATGCACGTTTGCTAGCAAGAACTTTTTTGCCTGTTGGCATCTGCTTGATATGGCAAGGGTACATAAGGTTCTTCACTCAGATAAGTTTAGACCAAAGTTAATCACCCCCAGCCACGGTGCACCACCTCAAAGATGCAACATAGTGGGCAGAATTACTTTGAATGGCACTACTTGTTCTTTCTTGTAAACATCCTTTGCAGTCCTGTCATTACTGTGTCAGGGACCTTCATCAGCTGATCTACAGAAAAAAAGCTCCAAGTGCCGCAGCAGAAATCAAAAGCATTACAAGTGTCCATGCCATCCAGGAACCTGTGGAGCTTGCGACCAAAACATTAAACACAAGTTGGAAGCACTGCACGTTTCCATGCAATCCAGACCTGTGAAGCTTGCACCCAAAACAATAGATACAATTAAAAAGTACTACACGTGTACTTGCATCCAGGCCTGTGGAGTTTGTACCCAAAGCATTGGACAGAATTCAAAAGCGCTACACGTGCACATGCAATCTTGACCTGCGGAGCTTGCACCCAAAACAATGAATACAAGTCAAAAGCACTACAAGCTTACACGCAAGTTAGACCTCAGGAGTTTGTGCCCAAAAGATTGAACACAAGTCAAAAATACTACATGTGCCCCATGCAATCCACACCTGTAGAGTATGCACCCAAGACATCGAACACAAGTGAAAAATGCTACATGTGCCCCATGCAATCCAGACCTGTGGAGCATGCACCCAAAACATTGAAAACAAGTAAATAAACACTACACGTACCCCACGCAATCCAGACCTGTGGAGTTAGTGCCCAAAGCACTGAACAGAATTCAAAAGCACTACACGTGCACATGCATCCAAGCCTGTGGTGCTTACACCCGAAACATTAAAACACCTTCCCTACGCACATGCACACACACACACAGAGTCCAAAGAGGTTCTCTCTGGCGCAACATCTACAGCGCTGTACACACTGACAGACTCCAAAATGGCTTCGGCACATCCACGGCACAGCACACACACACACAGAGTCCAAAATGCCTCTGGCATAACACCCACCACGCTGTACACATGCACCAAGAAGGTACAAGATGACTCGGGCACATCCACATCACTGTACACAAGCGCACACGAAGTTTAAAATGGCTTCGGCACAACATCCACCCCACTGTACAAACACACACGCACACACACAATTCAAAGAGGCCCCGGCGACGAGTTACAGCGCATCACTGGTGCTGGCGGCGACGAAGGATGCGACGCAGTCGTTCACGGACGCGTTGCAGGTGGGTTGTGCTCGGCAGAAGCACAAGGCGGTCCCGCACAGCCTTGCCCTGACTGTAGAGACGCCTCGACTGGAGGCCTCTCTGCTCGCGAGCTGCGTCAGCGCTTTCTTCTTCGTCATTGTCCTCGTCAGAACTGCTGTCTGAGTCTGACCGGGGCTCTGGCTCGGCCTCTCCTGAGCAGAGGCAGACATTGTGGAGCACCGCACAGGCTGCCACGATCGTGCCGGCGGTCTTCGGATGATGGTAAAGGGTCCGTGCCTGTGTAAGCACCGGAACCTGCTCTTCAGCAGCCCGATGCAGCGCTCCATGACTGCCCTCATGGAGGTGTGGGCCTGATTGTATTGCCCAGCCGGTGTGCCAAGTGCTGGCCGCCCAGGCACAGGAATCATCAGCAGGACTCCAGGGGGTACCCACTGTCGCCTGCATGGAAAGAAGTATGACTGTTCCTTAGACATCTGAACCACTCCCTAAACTTTGCACAAGTGCTACTTATCATGTATATAGTCCCTCACTCGTATCATTTGAGGAGAATGCTTTCACAACAACCAATCAACGGGTATTATTTAGTTTTAATCAATTGCTGCAGTAAGTCCGAAAACAATACCCACTAGTTTGCTGACGCCTTTAGGCGTGCGTCGTATCGATCTATAGTGTGTCGTTCTTGGAGGTATAGAATGCTCTATTAAAACTCCCTGCTAGTGAAAAGTATGTGCTTCATAACAAAGATGCTTTAAAACTGCTAATGCATGTTCTAATCCTGTATCTTAAGCACTAAAATTTCTTCACGAACCTTGACTTTACTTAAATGGTGGTCGCCTTGACTGAAACATTAAAGGGATACTACAACGAAATTTCGGTGCTAATTTTTTGGTCTATATGTGTTCAAAAAAGCACCATCAAATCGAACATACCAATATCTTGTTAAAAAAGTCACGAAAAGGAATTTTAAAACCAATTAAACGATTAGCAAAGAGCACCTGGTGGATGTCGCTAACGCCTCGCTTGTAATGCCCATCTAGCAACCTTGGCAGCTAGTGACGGAGGTTGTCTCGCCTCCGGCCACGACGACAGAAGAGGGGCAGAGGGAACTCCCCTCTTCCCGAGAATGCCTTTTGTGTGTCACAGAAGTCGCTATTGTCCCCCTACAAGATTATAGAAGATTAACCCGTCACTCAAAATTTGTACAAAAGCCGCCGCTTCGGTGGCTGGAACAACTAGGCCATCCTCTCGACGGCAGCCTCGCCGTAGCTTTGCTCGTCTTGAGACGACCTATGTCACGATTGCGTTGGATGTCACGTGGTCTCCGCTGGGCCTTCTCCGAGCGCTTGCCAGAGTGGGCCGTTTATAACGAAAAATACAGCCACCAGGCTCAAAATACAAACGTGCGATTGTCATTTACGGATATTGTGGATCATATTCAACCTATTTTTGAACACGACGGGAATATTTTAAATTTCGTTGAAGTATCCCTTTAAGGCCTGTCCACACACTTGCGTTTAATTAACTACAACCGACTGAGACAAGACCGGTTTTTAAGCCTCTTGTGATAGCTTACGACCAGCTCCGCAGCAACGCATCCGGTAGTAAGACGCTTCAAAACCGGTCTTGTCTCATTTGGTCATACTTGGCTGCAAGTGTCTGAACGGGCCTTCACGGTGCTGAGTTAAGATCACTCACCAAGCAGGTACTCATTGTGCCTGACAAGATGGCCAGCAACGCAATCCTGGCGCACCCACGAACGCCTCCACACATATGAGTCGTGGGTTGAGCCGGGCATCCTGGGGTCGATGGCCAGGATACGCAGGTCGGCGTCAGACACCTAGAATAAAGAGGGCACTGAGAGGGAGGTAGGACGGATGCTGGCGCACAGTTTGTACAGTTGTCGCATACATTCCTCAATTTTTACCGGTCGCTTTCTTGTCATACAAGTGTTCCTCGACAAGTTTGAATAGCACCAGGTCTACCCAGTGGCATAGCCAGGAGGGAGGCTTTTGGCGTCCGACTATTCGGTAAAGTGTCATTCGGTGAAACGTGGGAGTTCGCTAAAACGTCATTCGATCAAGTGAGTGCCTCCCCGCCCCACTGCTCGCCCCTCTCCAACCGGGCGCGCTTTCCGAACTCGCGGCGAGTCACCGTGACATCACTATGATATCACGAGGAATTCGCCGGCGAGATTGCGTTTTCAAGTTTGACGACTCTGTCCGTGCCACGGTGACGTCAGCGTCTAGGGGGTTGCCGGCTCCAAGGTCAGTCGCGGCGCCGACCAATCACGGCGGTCGGCGCCTCGGCGAGTTTTCTCGCCGCTTCTCGCCGCCGTCCAGCCAACGTTACTAAAAGTCAGTTGGGAAACTCGCCCTTGAAACCCGAACCGCCCGCGTCCAGCGAGACCAAACAAAATACGATAAAAGCGCCACCCTTTCGCGACAAGTCAAAACATAAAAGTTTATTTTTATTGCTAGTGTGAAATGGCATTGCGAGATGGCGCCACGGCCCTTGCACGACTGGACTTGAACCGATTACATGCCGACCACTGATTTCCCTACACAGCCCATAAAAGGGGGGGGGGTGTTTGTTCTTTTGAAGGCACCCCCTTCATTCGCAACAACTGCCCAATTCTCAATGCCCCTCCCCCCGCTGAAGATTTAGACCCCCCCCCCCCCCCCCCTAATTTCAATTTCTGGGGAAACCCCTGGGCCGGTTTGCTCATCTTGCGGCTGCGGCCGCGGCCAGGAGGGATTTTTACGTCACGTGACCAGCTCCATGGGGACAAGGAAGTACCTAGCGTCCCTGCCTAATGGCGGAGAGATCCGCATCGCATCAAGCACAAAAGCCTAATTCCGCTCGCAGAAACTGATTGGAGGGACATTCAACTGGAATCTAATTGACCGCCCCTTTATACTGTAGGAGCGGCCGGTAAAGTTACGGCCAGGGAGGGCAAATAGGAGCCAAAATAAAGAAAAAACCACACGAGATAAAAGCGGTAGCAGTATTTTTATATACCTCCGCCGGCGCCGCACCTCTCGCCTTCTGTTGTGGTCGGGGAGAAGCGCGCGACGCCGTTCGAAACGGTCGCAAAAAAATGAGCTCCCGTGGAGCGTCTGCAACGGCTTTCACCGGCCGTGGTTCATCTGCTGAAATGTCCCAGGATACCTACCGAGTGGTTCTGCCGTCACTGCCTACAGGTACTGAAGTTTTGAACTCTGTATTCGCTCATTGCGACATCACTGGACGCCCGTACAAGATTGACGATTTTCGAGGAGAAATGGAACGCCACGGCGTTCTAAACGACCTCATTGGAGCCGGCGCGTACCAGATGAACCATGTTTGGCTCTTCACCTTCAACTCCCTGACAGCGAAGCGAAAAATCCTAGAAGCCAAGGAGCTTGTGGTGAAAGAAAAAAGGTGCCTGCTCATCGATCCCGATGAGTGCGAGGTACGAATACGGCTGCACTGGATACCTATTCACATAAGCGACGACACAGTGCGGAGGGCCCTAGAGCCTTATGGAAAAATCAACGAAGTATCCCGCGACACATGGAGGGCGGAAGGCTTCCAGAATGTTCAGACGACGACAAGGCTGGTGAGAATGAACCTAAAAGAAGGCGTAACCAAGGAAAACCTCCCGCACCAGCTGCGTCTGTTCGGCAGCAACGTTCTCGTTCTTGTCCCCGGAAGAGCACCTCTCTGCCTTCGATGTAAAAGAACAGGCCACATCCGCCGAGAATGTCGCGTCCCCCGCTGTGACAAGTGCCATCGTTTTGGACATGAGCAAGAGGATTGCATCCGGACGTATGCCACTGTAATGCGACCGGCTCCCGAGGAAGACAACTCTGAATTCTTCATCGATGAATTTGAAGCTTCGAAAATCGAAGACGGCTCTGGGCACCCAACTACCACCCATACCCAAGCACCTTCAGGGGCTGACAAACGAGACGCATCGCAAGACGAAGACACAACCGCAACGATTCTCGAAGCTGACAAGACAGCTGCCTGCGTCGGAAACGGCGCAGACAACCTCAAGGCCGCTCCAGGCTCCTCTAAAAGCCAGCGACAGAAGACAGTCGACGGGAACGACCTCTCCTTTGACGATGCCACTGAAGTTGACTCGGAAATGGGCGACAGCTCGGATCTCTCCAAGCGACCGCTAGATCGCGCCGAGGAAGAAGACGCCGACCTTGAAGGGCCTGACTGGAGCAAGCCACAAGGAAGAAAGAAACGCAAGCCCCGAGCTCCACCGGATGGCCAACGAGAGCAAACCTCGCAGTAGGTGGTTGTGTTTACATAGAGTACAGTTACCGACAGTTCTTTACTTTATTTGTATATTTACTCGTGCTTGTCACCACAGCTATGAATTATGTAAGTTTTGCGTGAATTTGTTGTAAATCGCACTTTATTACAAACCTCCTCCTCCGCCCCAATAATGTTTGCATCCAAATTTCCCACTTTTTCTACTAATTGCTTAACGTTGGGTACACTCAATATTAGAGGTTTAAATTCTACTCGTAAACAGTATCAGCTATTACGTTTGCTTCACGAAGAGCAAATGGACTTTTTAGCCATACAAGAAACAAAAATGTCGGAGGAAGAGCAAGTTACGAAGGCGCTACAACCCTTTCTTACTTCGTACGAAGTATGTGTAACGCATGCAGTTGGCACGGCAGGAGGCTGTTTTTTGTTCCGTAAGAAATCTGTCCCCCTCTCTGATGTAAGTCTCATCACCGATGCTGATGGACGTTTTATAATATGTGACTTTAATTTGTTTGATGCACAGTAGCGAATTATTTGTGTCTATGCCCCGTTGCCCGTGTAAAGCCAGTGAGCGAACCTTGTTCTTCCACGATATGTCACACTACATCAAATCAAATCGGACCACTGTATTACTGGGTGACTATAATTGTGTATGCAATGCAGGCGATAGATTTCCAATAACGCGTAATAACGATGCTAGTGCAAATCGTCTGAGTGAAATAATAGCAGAAAACAATATGGAAGATGTTTTCCACATATCGAGGGGAACTAAAAAAATTCAATTTACGCACTTTCAAGAATCTTCGCACGCACGCCTTGATCGTGTTTATGTTTCTGCTGACATTGTAGATAACATTAGCTCTTATTGTGTAAAACCAGTGTTTTTTAGTGACCACTGCCTCGTAAAGGTCGCAATTGGAGAAAACGAAATTCCCAAGGCAAAGTTTAATTGGCGGTTGTGGAAGCTGAACACCAGTCTGCTTAAAGACAAAACATTTGTAGCTACAGCAGATGACCTGTTAAGGAAAATAACAGAGCAGAATGAGACATGTCCATTGGAACGATGGGAGCGGTTCAAAGAGCAAGTAAAAATGTCAGCAATCGAGAGATCAAGCACGCTGAAGTTCTACGCTCGGGCAGAAGAACGAAAACTGCAGAAGGATTTACGCACCTTGTGCGAAGCTGAATGTGAACGCCCTGGTTGGGGAACAAAGGATATCGCGAATGTCAAATCACGTCTCGAGAAATTCCAGAAAGAGCGATACGAGGGCGCTGTGATACGCTCGAGGACACAGCGGTTTCTCTGTGGTGAGCAACCCACTAAACAGGCCTTAATAGCAGAAAGAAGGTATGCTTTGTCCAAAGAAATCCTCGAAATAGAAATGGTACTATAGCTACAGACAGAGCAAGCATTGAGGATGCCTTTGTGGACCATTATCGACGACTTTTCGAGCTCACACCAGAACGACAAGAAGACAAAATTGACGAACTGCTGTCTTTTATGCCGAGAATAGATGACGAGACAAGGGAATGGCTGGAGGGACCCATAAGCCTGGAGGAAGTCGAAAAGGCAATAGGCGACCTGCCCAGACGGGATTTGTTCAAGCTTTTACAAGAAATTCAGAAAAGCACTCGCTCCCATTCTTCTCGCTGTCATAGAGGAAGCTTATAAAAGAAAATCATTACCGCTGTCTTTTTCTAGAACGCACACTGTGCTAGTTCCAAAATCAGAGGACGCCGACAAGCTACGACGTGTAGAAGGTTATCGACCAATAAGTCTATGTAATGTAGATTATAAGATATTAGCCAAAATACTCAATGGAAGGATACAGCACGTAATCTGCGAATTGGTGGGTGACCACCAAACATGTGGCATAAAGGGCAGGACGATCCAAACGAACGTTCACGTAGCCAGAAGCATCTTAGAATGTTGTACAGAAGAAGAAAATCAGATTGCCATGCTTCAGATTGATTTAGAAAAGGCATTTGACCGCGTACGCCATAAATTTCTTTGGGCCATTTTGCGGCACATCAACATTGGAGATGTTATTTATGAAGGCGTACGAATGGCATATAGTGGCTGTTCTACGCGACTAATTGTAAACCGTAGCGTAACTTGCAGCATCCCTGTAATGTCCTCAGTACGTCAGGGTTGCCCACTCTCGCCTTTATTATTTCCGCTTTATCTTGAGCCTCTCTGCTTGAGCGTTGCTAATAACAGAAACGTTCATGTATTTACGCTTAACTCCATAGAAGTCAAGGTATTGGCTTATGCTGATGATGTAGCAGTTTTTTGCAAAGACAAAAAAAGTGTAAGCAGCGTTATTGATTTAGTTAAACACGTTTGCGAAATTACCGGTGCGGCTGTAAATTTAGAAAAATGCGCAGGCTTTTGGCATGGTACATGGGCCACAAAGCCCTCAGAGTTTGAAGGGATCAAGTGGAGCTCAACACCTACGAAGTAACTCGGTGTACCACTCCAGCACATGCGTAATCCAAGTGTTTACTGGTCCGAAGCCACAGCTGAATTAAAAAAGCGGGTATCACGGTGGGCAAACCGCGACTTATCAATTTTTGCTAGAGCAACGGCCTGCAACATATTTCTTCTTGCTAGGCTCATGTATGTGTTTCAGGTGTTGCATTGTGCTCAAAGTGTAATGAGGAAAGTTCATAGAATATGTGCCACATTTATCTGGAAATCAAACTGGGAGCCAATGAGAAGAAATAACCTCTTCCGCCGTATTCCTTTAGGGGGATTAGGTTTATCGCATTTGTTTGTCCGGCAGCTCGTGTCGCGATTCATTTTCCTACGGGATACTGAACAGCCTTTCATGCGCGCGGTGTTTCAGATGAAACTGGCCGGGCACTTGCCTTCCTTTTTGGTCTCGAGTCATGGCGAGCAGTTAACAAGAATTGTTGGATTTCTAAAGGAGGTCGTTGAAGGATACCGTTTTTTGGCGGTGCGCTATTCCAGAGAATATTTGTCTTGCATAACTAGAAAATCTTTGTCCAACGCCCTGTATGACAACCTTTTCCCGGAGCCTTTGTATCGTGCACTGTACAACCAGGAAACCGGTCAGGATGTACTTTGTCGCGTCAAGAGAATGGCAATCCAGCCACGTGCCAAAAGCTTTTTCTTCAAACTTCATACCTCGACGCTCCCCGTGAAAATGTGGCTTCACGAGAAAGGTATTTTTGTTCCTTGGACCACTAATTGCTTGCTGTGTAAAGCTCCCGAAACTATAGAGCACGTGTTTATTTTCTGTTGGGATGCCCTGTTGTTTTGGGACGTGCTGCAGAGAACCTTAAAAAAAGACCTAAAAATAACAGCACATTCGATCCGTTTTCTTCCGATTGCTTCACAGGAACTTGTACCGTACGACCTTATAATGTTAATTGGCCTGTACAGCATCTGGTGTTCGCGGATGGCGGTGAGGCATGCGGACCTTAATCCGCGACCGGTTGAGGCATACTTTATAGAATTTGTGACTGAAATACGTAGCACCTATGCACATCAGGATACTGTTCCTGAGTGGGTTGGGATGTGTGAGAGACTCCTAAAGAGCCCCCAACGTATTAATTAATATGTGCTAATCAAAAGACTGTACGCTTAGCCTGTACGTGTTTGTGTTGTGTATGCTGTAATAAAGATAGAAAAAAAGAAAAAAAAAAAAACTTCTGTTGTGGTTGAGAGGTTAAAGCGCCGGTACTTGTCGTCGCGGCGTCAAAGTTCCGGGTTCAAATCGCGCTAAAGACTTCTCTTTTTTTTATTTTGCACGTGTCTTACTTTTGAATTGTGATCCTTTTTTGGAAATCATCCACTTGCACTACTGCGCCTTCACGCTTTTACTGTTAGTCCCACCTGTTCAATCGAAACACCGGGAAGAAGAAAAAAAGATTAACACAAGTTAACGCGCTAATGCATTCATTTCGTAATGTTCATTAAAAGGAAACCAAGCTAACAGCATCAGTATGGCTTTCACACAAGCGGAGCCGAAACAAGCATCCTTTCCCCAGCGTTTACAATTTTATCTGTTTTCAAATAACGCTCTTGCTACGATTCCTTTCAATAACAAGAGACGCCTATTTAGGACTAATAAAAACTTCAGTTGAAGCAATTAAAAAAAAAAAAAAAAAAAACAAGCAAAGAAAAAAAAAAGACTAGCAGCTGTGGATACATTGATTGAGCGAAATCCTACAGGCAAGGCAGCAGGTCAAACGTCTGAGAAAGTAGTAGAACTGAACTAAAAGAGATCATACTTTTACTTGCATGGAATGAGATAAAAAGTATATTTATACTGTTTACATTTTGTTGTGACAATTGTTTTGTAATATTAACACATTACTTGTTGAATTTTAGTAGAATAGCAGACGATTACGACCAAATGCAAAAATGAATCTGGCATCGACCATCGCAAACCCTCTCTCTAATGCAAACACCTAAAATGACTTTGGATCAACATATGGAATTAATTATAATTAATTCCAGTTCTTGATCCAAAGTCATTTTAGGTGTTTGCATTAGAGAGAGGGTTTGCGATGGTCGACGCCTGATTCATTTTTGCATTTGGTCGTGATCGTCTGCTATTCTACTAAAATTCAACAAGTAATGTGTTAATATTACAAAACAATTGTCACAACAAAATGTAAAGAGTATAAATATACTTTTTATCTCATTCCATGCAAGTAAAAGTATGATCTCTTTTAGTTCAGTTTTACTACTTTCTCAGACGTTTGACCTGCTGCCTTGCCTGTAGGATTTCGCTCAATCAATGTATCCACAGCTGCTAGTCTTTTTTTTTTTTTGCTTGTTTTATTTTTTTAAATTGCTACAACTGCAGTTTTTATTAGTCCTAAATAGGCGTCTCCTGTTATTGAAAGGAATCGTAGCAAGAGCGTTATTTGAAAACAGATAAAATTGTAAACGCTGGGGAAAGGATGCTTGTTTCGGCTCCGCTTGTGTGAAAGCCATACTGATGCTGTTAGCTTGGTTTCCTTTTAATGAACATTACGAAATGA